CTCCATAATTTTCATCCACACTTGGCATTTAACAGAACCACCTCCACAAGATTTCATATACCCGCCTGCTAGAGAGGGTTTAAGACGAATGGTAAAATGAGAAAATACAAATGAAAAATAAGATCATCCATATATGACTCTTATTTAACAATGAACTTGTCCATGCAAGTTGATAAAGTTTCAACCCACCTTTCTTGTTTCGTCAAAAAATAAGCATTTTCATATAATATCGATTGAAACTCACAGTAATCTGTCGCTGATTTCGATTCTGCAGAATGTTCTCGCTAGTTTGAGCTGAGCGATAAGATATAAGTAAGGCAACCTGCTTATAAAACAAGTTGTGAAATTTGAAAATGTGATCGGAAATGAACATATGTTCGTTTCTGTTTGTATATTATTAAGACGAGTCTATAGGCGGCAAATGTTGACAGTATTCGACATTTTCGAGGGATTGCTCTGTTTCCCTGAACATAAAAGTACGAATCGAATAGATATAGCTGATTCTATAAAGGTTGCTTTTGGAAATTGGTAATTTGGTATTGGGCATTTGGGCATACCGAACGATGCATTGGATTTACCTGAGGGACCACCAAACAATAGCATCCTTTATTTAATCAGCTGTATCTTCATGGTCGAATGTGATGAGAGAATACTTGTCAATACAAACTATTCACTTTCAAAATAATAGCGTCGATAAACTAGTTTGTTTTGTTTCGTTTTGTTTTTGTCCTTGAAATCACTTAAGGATTTTAATTACGCTTGTTGAAACTACTAGCAATATACCTTCGTAGTGGGAAGTTGTAGTATGTTCAAACTGTAAAGCTCAAATATATTAAATTTTAAATGACATTAAATTCTGATAAACATCACATCCATGTGTTACAAGTGCCGAAACTTATTAAAAATCATACACGAAAAGGCTTTTAGTACCTGACGGTTTTGAAAAATAAATACAGTCAAACGGACACTAAGGGGGCCATAGAAAGTGTCCGTATTAACGGGGTGTACGTATTAAGTGGTTCATGTATTAAAGAAGTAAACAAGACATACCTGTATCAGCCTTGACAAAAGCTGAAGAAGTCAAAAGTCAGGCACAGAAATTGTAACTCTGATTTTAAATACAAAGAGCACTTGAAGTAAAAGCTGTTTAAAAATAACAAGCCCCCGAAACGCAGGAAAAAGGCGGCCTCCATCTCATACAAAGGGCAAGAAAGCTATGTGTAGTCGCACCCTCCCGCTGACAAAGGAAAAACGAAGGGACGGTGCGGCTATACGTAGGCTAGGGCAACTGGCATGAAGTAGCAAGAGAAGTCTCGCACCTGTAGAGTTGAATCTTTGTGTATTTTGCCAAGATGACCCCTAGAAGCACTCATATCAGCAGTTACGTCATTCAATGTTAGCGATTCAATTCTTGCAACTGAATCATCCTATCTGGATAATACAATGAGATTCCGCCTTGCTGGCGTCCGTGATCTCATTGCTGCAAAGGAAAAGTATCACAAGAACCTCACTGGCAAGAGCAAAAAGGAATCTCAAAAGACAGACATCGCTATGATTTTTATCTGTTCTGAGCCCCACTATGCTGCAGAGCGTAGCGTATACTCCAGCTATCTGACGTATGGGTGAGGTAGATTTTCGAGGTACATTATTGTTTAAGGGTATAATACGCTAGCCTAATCAATACACAAATACCGCAGTCGCTTGTCATTTGACGAGAAGTTCATGAAAAAAACGTTGGAAACTTGTTCGATTTCGTCCGGCCACTGACACGGGACATTTCAGAGAGAGAGAACCACTACTTGCTTAGCGCAAATATTGCCATGAGATTATTGCAGACAGTTTATACCAAAATAATGACACCGCTAATGACGAGGAGAATTGTTAACAATGCCTCACTATGAGCCACAAAAGGCGATTTCTTGTCATTGCCTGAGTTCATGTCGCGGTAAAACGTAGAGGGGCCTTGAAGGATACCCCAGTTGGACACCTCACTAGCGCAAGACACAGTCGTGTCTATGAATGAGAAAACTGAACGGCACCGTCGTCTCAGCTAATCTAAACCCAGACAACTTCACGCAGTTCACAACTGTAACATTGACATCAACGATTCGTCACTAGAAGGAAAGAACACTTTTCACGCAACATTAGGTAGCTGCTTGGCAAATAGGCCGAGATTAAACAACGCATTTGGCAAGCTTGACAAAACTTGCTGACAAAACTGCCCTTGTTATTCTTGTAGCAACTGCAGGCAGCTGCTGTTGCGGAAGGAAAACTTGTCCTGGTATTTACAGAACCTGTTGAACCGAAGTGATACAGTATACTGTTTTTATAATACGGTTTGGCGCCAGGCGCACATTCCGAAACCGGTGCTTCCCGCCGAAGCCATAGGAGACAGACCGGACGTTAGCTAAAGACCCACACTGTTCCTTGTCTTTATGACCCCTTAATTGTATCCCGCAGGCTTATGTGGAGTTAATTTATGCCAGTGCGCCACTGGCTGCCCTGTAAATAGAAAGTCGAATGCCGAGTGTACTGGTCAATGTGAATGCACTAAGGTCGACACTAACCGTTGCTAAAACGCTTTAGCTCATGTAAAAAAATACATTAGCTTAGCGTTTTGTAAGAGATTAGATATTTACAATATTATAACAATGTCACAGACAGATTGAAACCCGAGAGTAAGAAACAGTGTTCTGTTATGTTTATTTGATAATTTTACGTGAATTCAACCTAAGTCACCATTAAGAGGCCGACAAAGACAAAGGGCATTGTGAAATCACTAAAGGTACGAAAAAACGGGCAACAAGAAACGTGCAACTTGTTTTGCAACATTGCTGCAAAAAGAGTTGAATAGCGATGTTGCACGTTTTACCACCCACGTTCAAACCTCTTAACAACCTGGTTTGTTGTAAGACAGGTTTGATTGGATGGTTAAAACGTGCAACATCGCTATTCAACTCCAACCTCGTCCCCAGGGCGAGGTTGATTCAACTCGTTTTGTAGCAATGTTGCAAAACAAGCTGCACGTTTTTTGTTGCCCGTTTTTCCGTACCTTACGAATAAAAATTGAACTTAATAATTTAATTTATTACATTTAATATAGCGCTTTAACTATTAAAATATTCTAAAGCGCTTTACAATATGTACAAGAAAATAAATAAATAAATATATATATATATACAATAAATGGACAGAAACAATAATAGCTGAATAAGAATGTAGAATTACAAATTAAAAGCTTTCTTAAAAAGATAAGTCTTCAACTGTACTTTAAAAGAGTCAATGTTCCTACAGTTTCTAAGGCTAGATGGCAAAGCATTCCATACTGTTGGTCCAGCATGGAAAAAGGCTCGATCGCCAAAAGTCTTCCGTGTCACCTTAGGGATTACAAGCAATGTTTCAGAATCAGACCGCAGGCGGTATCTAGTTCTAGGCTTTACAACAAGTAGTTCAGATAAATCTTGCAGAGCCAGGCTGTTCAACGTTTTTAAAACTAAAAGCGCAATCTTAAATTCTACTCTAAATTCACTGGCAGCCAATGAAGTTCCCTAAGTACCGGAAAAATATGGGCAAACTTAGGAATTAAGCATGTAACCCGAGCCGCCGCATTAAGAACTTTTTGAAGTCGGTCATATATATTGATATTGAGAAACAATGATTTGTACATGTATTCCCAAGTGTCACAACAAAGTGTTTTTCAACAAAATGTCACAAATATACCCCTGGTAAGATGATTTTTTTTATAAGAGGGCGTGGTCAAGTGTCATATGATGGCTCGATATTTTAGTAAATTTAATTCTTAATTTATGCAGAATAAATTTTCAGTCAGGAAAAAGGCGTGACAGTCATCTTAAGCTTGCTACTATAATAAGCCCATTTCTGAATGGTTGTCGACACCACTTGGGCATTGTGTTTTCTCGATGCCTTTATAGCTGTGTACAACTTGATACTTTAAAATATGTGCAACTTCATTAACAAAATTTGATAATATTGATATCATTGAAATTAAAATTTCTTCTTACGTACGCGTTAACATTAATCGTTACTCTCAAAGAACTTCTATTCATCAAACGTACTTAGTATTTGTGCCTTTCTTTTCGAAACAAATCTTAACAAATCAAAATATAGCACCTACGAAAAACTCTCAATTGTTTTTAGCGCCGCAAGTTTGCTCTTTAAGGAGAAATAAAACTAATAACTCCAGTACTTCAAACCATCCATTTTCCAGCTGCAATCAAAACCCTTGCACTTCGTAATATACTGAATATATTCAACCCTTTTAGATTTGCCATCACAATCGAGCGGGAATTTTGCCAGTTGAGGATAGAGCTCTGAGGCTTATTTGCTGAAGTTAGGGAAAAATCTGTCGTGGGATCTCGAATTTATTTATAATGCATTTTTCGTAAAAATTAGATTTTAACATATGCCGATATCTCATACATTTTTACACCTACAAGAAAATAAATAACATTTTCTTAACGGTCAACCATTCTTTATTATTTCTGCCGCATAATGTGATTCAAAAAACTGAACATAAATGAGTTCGGGCCACCTTAATATCGAGGTTTTTAGGCATTTCCCGCAAACCCCGAAAGTCAAAAAATCAAGTGACTAGTGGCTTGCTGTCAGGTTTGTGGTTTTAGGTTCACGTTTGTACGGCTAGACCACGCTCCAGAGGTAAGTGACGTACCGCAAGGTTTTTTGCACCCTAAAACATCACAATTCCACGTTTGAGAGGATATACTACTTTTTAGAACTCTTTGCTTATTTATCATCGAATTCTTTTTAATCGAAACGTAATTTGAATACGATATTTCAGCCAAAATAGAAGTCAACCAGTGAATGAAAGCAAACATGGCAGACGCGGGCTACCACCCGCTAATTTTAAGTTCCAAATATGGGCAGACTGGTAACGTGAAACTGCTCACTATGAAGCGCGGTTTTCCGCGTTTGCGATAAGATGGCCAAACCTTGATCTTAAGGTCTCTCCTATTAGTTAACTAACCTGATGAACTGAAAAGGTGGTTTACTGTATCTTTAACAGCTTGCCTTACTTCTCTAATCTTCCAGCAGTATAGTAACGGGTTTAATGACGAGTTTAAGAAAATTAAACAACTTAGAATTTCTCTTGCAAGGTATCGAGATACAGTTATCCCGGTCTGAGGTGTCGTAGCTGCTGCTAAGCCAGCAGGAAGGTAACAAAGCACCAACGTTACCTGTACCCAAAGTGCACTAGACACCGCACTCTTGTATCGAGCTATGTTCAGGGGAGTTGCCTGAGCCGGTTGCCCTGGGTTAACTTGAATTTGTAAATGACGCAAAGTGAAAAAAATTTTTGTGTAAGCGACAACTGAGATGGCCAGACACAGAAGTAAAATAATGTCACCCCACAAGGAAGTTACACGTGCATTCCAGAAGTAAGGCGATACCCCGACCAAAGCCATTATCCAAATAGCAAAAACAGTTGTACGCATTCTTTTATAAGTTACTACTTGTTTGTATCTCAGCCCCAGCTTCAGGGCGAGAAGTCTGTCTACGCTTATCACAGTCAATGTGCTCAAAGACACTACACATATCACATAACCTGCGGCGTAACATATCAGATCTGTGTAATAGCAAATATCCCAGCTTTTAGTTACAACAGAAATCCAGTAAGCCATGCGCAAAGGCACCACTACCATTCCAACACCGAGATCAGTTATCGCTAGATTACGATACAGGAGTTTGGACGGCGGATGAAGTGAAGATTCCCTGTGTAGCGCAGCTAGGATTAGAGCGTTTTCCAGAATTGCAGAAAGTGCCACAAATGTATTTGCCACCGAAAGAGAGATTAGTTCAGCGTGTAAGCCTGCAGTAAACTCTGCTGAGCAATGCAGTTCTGTAATAGCTCCCGCCATTTCTCTGCAAAGATAATTAGACTGAAAGTGAGCTAGACACTGATACAAACGCTTCCAGTTCAGAAGTCGAATAGTGTCGAAACTGAAACCACAAGAACGGAAGGTCTCCCAATGCCACCGAACTGGCTAGCGGCACTAAGAATCTTCCAAAGCATAGCATACTTTACCAGCTAGAAACAATTAACTAAAGAGGCAAAAGGCGGCCCTGAAATATCCTCTGCCACAACACTAGCAATTCTTCTTACTTTTTAATCAACAAGAGAACGGCTGTTTTATCAGTCAAATGAGTCATTAGTCATGAGTCAACAGATCGGATCAGCGGTTTTTCATGAAAAGGGTAAAGTTATAATACTGTCTACCAAGCGGTGGGGGGGAGGGGAAGGGGGGGTGGTTGACGAACTCCTCAATTGCTCCCGTAGGGACCGCGCGACAGATGAGCTTAGCCATATCGTGTCGCCACAAGCAATTATCCTGCTAATTTCGAAGGTTTTTATCAGGGATATCATTTTTGATGCTGTAGAGTGCAAAACAGTCGATTTTTCCTCAAAACCAGTAAAGAAATCGGTAAAGCGTGGCGTAAGAGTCTTACGAGCGCTAACCGCGCGAGCCTCACACGCCCGTGAGGGGAGGGGGCTGTAAACCTCTTAAGGGGTGGGGGGGGATTACAGTTGAATTTTGGGGAATTAGGGTTGAATTGAGAATGAAAGAGAAAAGGATAGAATAGGGTATACACGTAACTGACTAGTTAGTCCGCTAATTGGCTCAAGTCCACCTTGTTGTGGTGACTGATTGTCTGGTCTTTTGTCTATTAATTATTCACTTCAAATTTTAAATTTTTTCAAATTTTTATCAAATTTTTTTCAAATTTTTTCAAATTTTAACTACCCTTAAATCCAATATTTTCTCATTTTTCCTAACTTTTAACATTTTAAAAACTCATCGTTCCAAGAACTTCAGGATGAGTGATCTAATGATATTTTGAAGAGATTTTCAAGGAAACGTGCTCGCGTATAATTGTAAATCCTCCTTGCACAAGAAGGCTACAGTAACATTCTGTCTCTAGTCGCTCCCCTTCGTCAGGTTGTCACTTAATAAAGAACCTTTTTAGAATGTATATTTTTTTGCATATTTTTTGTCAAACCCTACGTGAATGCCCCGTAGAATAGCCTTTCCCAGCAACCTTTAAGGATCATAAAACCATCAGACAATACATACTTTCAAGCAAGTAGACAAAATAAATAAGAGTGTTGCTCCATTTTATCCCTTCTTCCGAAATATTATTTTTTTAGATCTGCCTCATTGACTCATTGATACATGACTCATTGATCGTGTTAAATGTTGCCGTAGAAAATGAGTAATAAACTTATTAATAAGTTTTTGTTATCGTGAAAACCTATTCCTAATTTTTCAATCATTTCAGTTCGACAACTCTCGCTATTGCCGTGAAAGTATCTTCTAGTGAAAGAAAAAGAGTTGTTTTGTTGATGGTAATTGTCCAAATTTCTCCGTGCGGCTTCGTTTGTGAACGCGAGGAAAGTTGATGTTGGCGAATTTCAGTTTAAAAATTAGGCCATTTTGAGACTCCGACCTCGAAAACCGATATTCCAATCTTTGTGGCAATTAAAGAGCTTTTGGCGTAAACAATGTACATCACGTTTCGGCTTATCTACCTACAAAATGAAAGAGATCGATTTTTCAACTCTTGCCACTCGATGCTCGATATTTGCTGACCGTCGCTCTTAATTAATACTTTACACTTTTTCAACAAAGCTTAGAATTTATTCACGGCAGGTGTCAGTGCAGTGCAGCCCCTGCCCCCCCCCCCCCCCCCCTCCCCCTCCGAAAACCTCAGTTTAACTGACAATAAGCTACCTACTGTAATGAACTTGAACCTGCTTTGTGAGCGAAAAAACTGAAACATATTCGGAGATTTTTATACACAGTCAGTATGTAAAGAATTAAGGGAAAAAAAGGAGCTTGGATTAGTAAAAAGATTACGATTTCTGTTCTGTCTAATCCTTTATCACTCAAGAGAAATTTCTCCAGTTTTACTTTGCAACCGTGAGTTTTTAATCAAGGTCTATTAATTTGTCATTGATTTTCGTTCCGGCCACACCTCGTGATCAGTTTGTCTAAGATTATGTAATTTATCATTTCTTTCGCGTTTTCTCGCACTCGTTTACAGCAACTCTGAGGTTAGAATTTCAAAATTAAGCCTGATTTTCGCACAAAACGTTAGTGTTTTCCCCATTAAAGATCGCAGAAGTTTTGTTTTAGATTATTATGATGCAAACGAAATAAAGCATTTTTCACTTACCTTCTAAAGAATACTGTTTAAACCTGTTTCCTTCAGTTCTACAATAACAATGACTATGAGCAAAAGATTTGGTAAACGAAATATTTCTCTGCTAACTGGCTTAGTCTAATTATGATATGCAGAATAAACAAGAAGTCGTCACCATGGCACTCACCCTCAGGCTTACAATACTAAGTCAAACTCCCTCGCCGAATTATGATAGACTTCTTAACGACGAAAGTGTTTATATATCTTTCATTCAAGTGGTAAATTAACTATAGCTTGGGAACTAATCATCTGTTCATTTAATTTCCTTCATTATCAACTTTAAAACCAAAATCTAAGAACTGTTATCGAAGGCCATTTGCGCGATTGCATCAATTAACTACAAATACTGACCACATTTAATGGCGGTTTTGTTATTAAAAACCTATCTGCAATTACAAAATTAATTTTCAATACGAAAGGGAAAGCGAAATGACTTTTGATATTTGTAGTCAACAAAGTTATCATATACTCTCGGAAAAAACGAGGGCAAGTTACGCTGTGTTCGCACTACGCAAAATTTTGTTTCTTTTTCACCAGGGCCTTACATTAAAAAATTTATCTTATCGCCAAATATCAAGTCTGATTTGTAAGGTAATAAAAGCCGGAAGACAGTAAACGATTTTTATTTCTCATTCCGTGATGCTAATGGTATATAACCTCTTGAAAAGTGTCTTTGTCAGGAAAGTCTCTTAAACTTCCATTAGTGTCGGTAGTGAGTTTAAAATCAATCCTCAGCGAGTTCCGCTAAAAGATATTACGTAATGATAACAATACACAATGGGTTTATAAAAAGTGTTGCACTGGCAAAAATATTGGAATAATTTTGTACAGAACGGGCCTCCATACAGTCTATTTTTTTACTAAAAAGACATCATCAATATCACAATGATTTTTGCTAGAATATAGACTATCTACATAAAATTTCTTCCGGCAAAGTTGTTCGGATTAAAAACGAAACTAAGAGTCAGCGAACCGCCGCTTATGTAGCTTAAGGACAGTGCCGGAGGAGAGGGAGGGAGGAGAAGGGTGATTTAGTCCCTCCATAGTTAAGCGACGAGTGCGACTAATCGACTTGTTTACATCAAAAGGACCAATACTGTTTTTTCCATCTAAATGTAGAGCGCCGCTCAAAAACAAGGCAAAAATCCTTTTGTTGATCTTAAAAGCTAGCCTCCAGTTTCTTGCCTCCACGTTCGGATACTGCATTAAGCTATTTTATTCTCCTTTCAATTATTAAAAACGTCAATTACAAGGTTCAGAGCTGAATCCAGGAGGTGGCCCGGCCCAAATAGCTCTCCCTCCTTAATTTTGATGAAATGCCAGTTTTTGAGGTAAAAATGAACAGGTCATGCAGTAGCAAGCGATCGTGCCTCCTCATATTTCTGTTTGTTATGTCTAAAAAAAATAGATGACAGGATAGTCTTTTGGAGGCCATTTTTGAAATACGCAATTTAAAGCTACCAAATTGATATTCCTTTAAATTTTAAATTAACACATTAAAATATAAAAAATATGATCAATCTGAATGTAATAAAAATAGGCATGTTTCTCCCCGTTAAGGACAAGAAATCAAGCATTTCAAACTCAGCTCCCTAACAATACGTCGAGCGCTTTTACAAAAAAAAAACAAAGTTGTTGCCATGTATGTCCTCAAGGCAGAGTATATTTAAAGTGCATGCTTATCCCTTATAACTGAACAACAACTGAGCTACTTGAAATAGATGAAGGAATTAGCTTAACTTTACTCATATTTCTAACGGTAATCTTTAATGATAATAATAATAATAATAGTAATAATAATAATAATAATAATAATAAATACTTATATAGCGCCGATATCAATATTGCTATTTTCACCAGCGCTTAAAAATAAAAATATTTCAAAAAAAAAAATTACCACGACTGCATAAAGTACACATGCATAAAGTGCATGAACCTACCAAAAAGAGTTGAAACAATTTTGTCAACACTAAAACTATAAAAATTACCTAGACTACTTAAATCGTAAAAACTGCATAAATCCTACTAAAAACGAGATTAAAAAGCACATAAAATCACAGCTTTCTGAAATAAAAATGTCTTTAGTGTCTTTTTAAAAGATGCTACTGAGGGGCTACTCCTAATCGCGTAGGGCAATGAATTCCATGGTTGAGGAGCAGCAGCAGCAAAAGATGCGGTGCTTGAAAAATTTCTCAGATAAATTACAATTTAGACACACGAGCTGTAGGCAACTACAATACCACTCGATTGAAAGAGAATTTTCGAATTTTCACAAAATTACCATGTATGATTTGAGCATTTCAAGTCATTGTACTAGACGTGATGCAACACTAAGGCGGTACTTTGGGTCCAGAGAGCGCTCGTTATCTTATAATAAGGGAAAGTTTGAAATTCAATTATCGACTTCTCGGTTAATGTTTTTCAATTTAGGAAAGTGTACCTCATATGAAAGGTTCATAATCAATTATATTGGAAGAACTATAATATTTTAAAATGGTACAGAAATGAAATCCATGGTCGTGTACTCATCTAAGCCGAGAAAAATGTTATCTTTTTCTAACACAAAAGTTGATAATGTCAACGTTTTGTGCATCTATCCAGCCACAGAGAAGTTGACCTTTTATGCGACAAAAAGTTCCAAATCAAAGGAAAATAGCCAGTCATCCAACCAATAGAACTGGTTTCTATCGCTAACTTCACACCCACAAGCGAATTTTCTACTACAGACATCAACGGGGAGTTAGGAGTGTATCCTCAACAGACCAGTTAATCAGAAACCAATGAAAATGGAAACTGCTGAAAAATTTAAAATGCTAAGGATTTGCAGTGGGTAGGAAGAGATTCTTATGGGGTTTTGTGATTTGGGCGGCTTTATTATCCCACTCAACCCTAAGATCATCGTTCTCATAGCAGCCGTATATACCGCATCTTAATCTCTTCCACGAGCCACTTATTTCTGTAGACAGGCTGCTTGGGGTATTTGGCGCCATGTGTAATGACAAAGATTAGTTTCAGCTCATACTCCACGAGCTTCATATTGTTCAAAATGCTCAGCAGGCAGTTTACCGGTACCAGATGAACAGCAGCTCAGTAACAGAACTGAGTTGAAAAGAAGGGTGTGGCTCATTCATTGCTTATATAACCGCAAGTCATCTTATTCAAAATGACGGTAGGTGCACCAAGTAACGAATCTGTGTATCCATTTATGTGCAAAGCAAAACAGAAACACCCTTCTAAAATCGGTGAAGAATAATAATAGAAACAGTGAAATCGTTCCATAAATAAGAAGATGAGAATTCAACTGGTAAAATGAGATTTTACTAAGGAAATTTATTCCGCATACTTTAAAACTGTTCTGCACACATCCCACCAAACATAAGTTAACGCTCTTGCATCTTGTTTGCATAAACTGAAACAGGCTGACAATTACTTCGTAGTCCAGACATTTCATATTAGTTTGAGTGATCATCAACAGTTAAATCAGAACCCATTCCACCAATGAGGTGATGCTAGTTATTTTAGTTATCCATGTAAAGTATGGACGCCAAAGAAAATGATGTCAGTGTCATGTGGGCGTTGAGTCCTGATCTAAGCTTGCATTGGTGTTGAGATCCCTGACATCATTTGCCAACAGAATGAATGTGATCGAAAACTTTGTGGGATATGTTTCTTGAAAGAGAAATTAAGGACAATTGATTTTCACGTAATCAATGTAAATTCAAGCACAGTGAGATACACAAGCCCATTTGATTATCGTAGATCCCATCACGTCGGACAGACATTTTTTACCTTGCGTTTGCGTTAGCCTGTGAGCAAGTTCTCTTGATTAACACCACTCCCTCTTGCGTCTCCTTTGGAGTGCAGTTTGCACGTGACGTTTCACGATAGCCCCAAATAGACAGCTGGATCGTAGACTGCACTTGTTTTTTCCTGGTTGACAAGCGTAGTGCAAACAAAAGCGTTTGGGGAAAGAGTTAGTTCAATTGGTTTTTTCGGCTTGCACTCGCGTTTGTTTATCCAGCCCTCATTATCTTCAATAAAACGAGGCAAGAAGTGAAAAAGAAGATAAAGTGACCTTCATAGTGTTTCCTCAACTCGAGTAGAGCTCATGCAACATACCTGTCGAGCAGTGTATGAATGGGATATGTGTAGTCATCTTATAACAACACTTTTTACAACACTTCTGAGGCATACAAGTCTAAAGGTTTTAACTTTGACTAAGGGGTATATCGTGGCAGTCTGTGGCTATGAACTCATTAAATGAAAGAAAAACTGCTTCTTTGGGACGGTGTCGATTCACCATTGGCAAAACTGGTGTACAACCTACTCTTAAGATACAGTGACATCTACAACTACCTTAAGGATACAACTATCAGAAAGGGGGGGGCTCTTCAATTCCTTCAATATGGCATATTTAAGGAAAAAGTCTATGTCATGTGACTTTCGATTGTCGTCTGTGGAGAAAAAAACTCTGCAAAAACGCCGTGCGATTACAATTTTTGATCAATTCAGGCTTTTAGGCAATGGTGTATGAATCCAACTCAAGATGACTGCACGCACGGCTAACTGGAGGCTTTCCAAACCGCTGAAAAGATTTTTGCCTCGTTTTCATGTAATGATTTGCATTTGTATGGTAAAAAACAGCCGTTGATAGTTGGACAATAGTTGCGAGAGTGTTATCATTTAAACTTGCCTGAAAAGGTGCCCCTTCTCACCCCTTTAAACACACAAATGCACAGAAGGCAGCTTCAGCACAGGACACCCAACAATAGCCCGCCATATTTGGAAGGAGGGGTCACGTGACACCAAAGAAAGGATGACAGTAAAGCAAATGTCTTCTTCCACAATATCTACGACTTTTATTTACAGAAACACTCAAAAATGGTATTTTAGAAGGATTTCCACTAACAGCCTCGTTTTCATGTAGGCCATTTTAGGGCCTGCGCAGTACTCGTGTCCAGTGTTGAATTTGGCTTGGCTCCATATCCAGAAATGTTAGTCTTAGGGTTGGTTGTAATCTGGCAAAGTTTCATGCTTTTATCATAAAAGTGAACAATTTTGGTCGATAACAGCTGGACTAATACTGTTTTTTGCTCAGAAAAATGTACTTTATTCATCTTAAGTTACTCGGTTACACGTAGATTGCAAATCAATCAATGTAAACGCCTGACTAGTACTGAAACGCCTATTGTAATGTACAAGTTGCAGCAATTAGTATTTAAATTTAATTTATTTAAGCGACTCAGCTTCTTTTGCTTAAGATTACCACGTAGAGAAAATTCTAGATTGAATTGAGTCTACGCGCATAACTATTTTAAGCTAAGGTCTTTTTCCAAAAGCTTTGTTCTAACAGCGGTACAGTTTAAATCACATAAAAGGTTCACTTGATCACAAGCTAGATCAGTAGCAAGGCAATCGGTATATATACGCCACCTGCGCATGCACACCAGATAATGTACCTTAGTTGCCCCCCCCCCCCCCCCCCCCCAAAAAAAAATGGCATAACCTTTGTTTTTCATTTCTCCTGGGTATTACAGCCGTCCCAAGAGGAATTGAAAACAATGCTTATGCAAAATTTGGCGGGGGGGGGGGGGGGGGGGGGGGGGAGGGGGGCAAATAAGGTGCATTATGGGATATATGCAATTGACGTATCTTCGCAGGAAACTGGGTCAAAGTTCGTCCCTCAAAACAATCCCATAGTGCAATTCGACGGACCCAGTCTCCGCAGAATCTCAAAATGGCCAATATAAACCAAGTCTGTTTCAGTGTGTACACGCGTACAAACTTTTGCATTTAGGGCGTTCACACGGGAATGATATTCGTCGATTGGTTGACGGACTTGTTCACACTGGCTAAACCGTTTACCATGATCGTTTACACCGGTTCTCCTGAGGCCAGAAGCCGCCGGTATGTAAGTTTGCAGGCCATGTCCACACGAGTCCGTCTAAGTTTGTAAGCGCCTACAAACTTTAAGGAGCTTTGTCACGAAATTTACCAAAATTCAAACAGTGGAAACCGCCAACGGTTCCGGGTAAGAACGCCTACAAACTACACCTCGATCCCCAACCAAAACTCTAAAAAATCTCGAACAAAATCTTTTAATGATTGCCTCCATTAAGTGTGGAGAATATAACTTATATATTAAGGTATATAATCTGTAGGTAACAAAGGCATCAATGAAGGAAAAATTTTTCTAAAATAAGAAAGTGTGTAAAAAGTAGCCTTATTTTGAAGGAGCCGACTTGGTGTGATAAAGCTATAGAAGCAGATAAGTTAACCTAAGTTTGATATAAAAAAAGAAATTGGGGTAACATTATACAAGTCTGACTCCGCACAAACTACATGCTAGTCATGTTCGGAATGTGATTGGACGAAACTCTAGTTCTCAGAAACTTGTCCTAGGAATCTCGAAGTTAGATCCATTTGTTACCCAAGCGTATAGTGATCAGTAAGGGAAAGAAGATGGGTTGCCATGCACTTTGAGGAAAATATGTCATGGATGTTGTCACGGCAAGAACACTGAATAAAAATGTTGTGGTGATGGCGTGATATTGAGGCATGTACAGTTTTTGAAGTGTGTGGGCAAAATGTAAAAAAGTCTGGTGCAAGACGATGACAATACTTCAGTTTGTTCTATAACATGAGAAATTTCTGCAATTTGATTGGCTTAGAGCAGTGGTATTTCAGCTTAATTTGAAATACCTTCGTGTGAAAATTATGAAACCTTCTACGGGTAGTAGTATAAAACAATAATAGGATGATTTGTACGTGATATTTGGCATAAATACCACTCGTGATATTTCAAACTGTCTCAAAATTACATATAACAATTTTGAAATATCACTCCTAGTATTTATGCCAAATATCACCACAAATCATGCTATTACCTATACTAATACAATCTGTGAATAAAATATCTAGGTCTGTAAAAAGGAAAAACCGACTGGATTATGAAAATCGTACAAAAGCGTTGCCAAACGTTTCTATAGCCAAGGTTAAATGCCGTCAAGAGAGAATGCATATCTTGATGTCGTCTATAAACCACATGTTTCACCGTTTTCCTGCTGTTCCTGGGGTTCTGGGAGTTTACACTGATCCATTGCAACTCCCCTGAAAGCGAGGGCAGAAACTGTGGATGGATGATCTCCTATGACCTTATTATTACGAGATTTGCATCCTTTAGTTACTAGTCTCCACATGTGGCGTCGAAAAGCTCTGTCGTGGGCTGCGTAGATAACGGGGTTAATGGTTGAATTAACTGATATGAATATATACGTGACGAGGCGAAATAAGTGCTCTGACGAACCAACGTTCGTAACTATTGTCCTTGTGTCGTTGATGAATTTAAAAGACTCCAAAAAGTAGTAAATAAGGTTTGGAAGCCAAGAAATTGCTAAAACCACAGTTATCAATAAAACCGTCTTAGTCACGTGTTTCCGCGACTGTAGCATTGCCCTCTGGGATACGTTTGAAGTTTGGTCGCCCGAAAACCATAACCGTCGTACCACGCGGCCGTACATAATTCCCATGGCTCCTAGCGGGAAGAGACCTATAGCAAAGAGCCATAAGACTGAATCAGCTTTACCGAGCCAATCAGGGAAAAAGAAAGCACACCCCTTTTTCTCATCACTGTAACTTATTACATAAGTTTCGGGAAGAAGAAATATGAAAGATAAAATCCATGTCATTATGATCAATTTCCTGAGCCTTCGTTTCGTCAGACGGCCGAGGCTCTTGTGCGGGTGAATAATGGCATGATATCTCCCACGCAATAATTAGTAATGTTATCACCGCTGCCACTGATGCTACCCAAGATAAGTTTGCGTGAGTGAATGTCCTGCACAAAAGTCTCCGACCCATCCACTTGGATGCTGGAATTCAGTGATTAATAACCGTCGCGGGATGAAGAAAACCGCGAACAGCAGATCAGCTAATGCCAAATGAGCTAACAGATAGTTCATTGAGTCTGCATTCTTCGATAGCGCATGACCACCACGATGACCAGACTATTTCAAGGAAGTTTATAGCGATCATCAGAGAAAACACCACCTTGAGTACGACATCTGCTGTTGAGGTCATTTTCTAAAAGGCTGCTTCCATTCAACGATTGTGGCTGACTCTGTTAAAAGAAATATCAAAGAGAAATTTGATAGTTTTTTTTTTCTGTAACCGTCTAGTCCATTTATATTCTTTGTAATATACATTCGTTGATGGAAAAAGAGAGCTTTGAATGGTGTTCCGCTAAACAAATTATCTTATAGCTAGATTGACCAATCAGAGCACGACTTTTTCAGCAAGGGACGTCATCAAAAACAACTTCCTCGTAATATCTGAATTATCTTACAATGACGTACGTTCTATTTGTTTATTTTTGCACACTTCGTTTGATAGCCGCGACAGAAACAGTTTGTATTAGATTGAAGTGATTTCAGGATCTACTTCATGAAAAACACCCGACATGATCCTAACCAAAAAAAAGATAGAAAAGAAGGAAAAAGAAACGTCTATTTTTTCGTAAATTTTAAATTCCGAAAATGTTTTATTTCATTAAGTTGTGTTAATGATTCAGCGAAAGTAATTTTCTCTTTTTCAGTTATATCTTTAATTATTGATCGCGTAACTTTGGTAACGATTGTCTCCGAGTATGTGTTCCTGTTTGATATGTAGATTAGAGCAAAAGTTTAATTTTGAATTTGTTTGTGTTTTATACATTTTTTTTCCCCACGGAAGTTCTTCCTTAAAAATAATTAAGCTTAAGTTTTGTTTTAAAGATGTAAGTTAGTACTTAAAATGGTTTCTCTGCGTTGTATGTTAAAAATGGCACCTCAAAGTTCTCCGTGGAAAGGGTTATATTTAAAAAATCTATTGGCATCGCAAATCTCAGTCGCCAAATAATTAGCCTGCGTAGCAAGGGTTTTGGAGCAAAGAAAGACCGAGGAACGGGATTTTCGGTTTTGGCTGCTCGAGAAATGAAACGAGAGCCAAAAAATTAGAAAGATGAAAGAAGGTTTATTAACAGTGCGATCGACTGAGCCACGCCGTGCGCGAGACGGCTAAAAGTCTAACATGTCTTAGGAAAAGGTCGCGAAAATTAGGCCAGGGCAAAAACGATGCATGCTTTTGTTGCCCCGTGGGGCTTACTCACGGACAAAATATGAACAACTTTTATCCTCTAAAACCATTTTTATAATTCCTCATATCTGCTTAGACCACTAAACTTAATTATCTTGTGGAAATTTGAAAATATTGCCTGTGGCAGCAATTGTGTCTTATATTTTCGGCAGTCAATGAACTTGAAGACATTGTGTCAGCCTAAAAAAAATTAAGATGTTTTGAAACTTTCATGAAGATTGATTCACTGCAACACCTTGAAATTTCAAGAAAAAACTAGCCTACGGACCGGCCAAAAATCCGCGTTACCAAATTCACTGTTTTGACGTTATGCCTATTTTTCCAAATTGATGTCCATCATACATACCTCCATGGCGAGTACATTTTAGTATGAATTTTATTACATATTTTGAATGTAAAACATTGACAATATTCACACTGAAATGTACTATCCATGGAGGCATGTATGGTGGGCATTAATTTGGACAAATTAGCATAACGTCAAAAGAGTGAATGTTGAAACGCAGAATTTTTGGCCGGTTCGTAGGCTAGGTTCGTCTTGAAATTTCAAGGTGTGTTACAATCTTAATGAAACTTTCAGACGTTATTATAAACATTATGAAGATTATGTGATGAGGTTTCAAAAAAATTCCGTCGAGTCGTTTTAGAGATATTCACAGAAAAGCGCTAAAAGTCAAAATTTAGAACAAAGTTGCTCTTAGACAGGTGGTGAGAAAACAGGTTTATTAGTTTTCAGGATCGCAAGAAATAAAATACACCAAAATTTTCTAGCATAGAAGTATGATGTTAAGCAGCCTTCTGACGCTACTTAAGATTAATTTTAGTTATTTAGAAGCTTTTTTATTTCACATTTTATCACGGCTATTGAAAATGTAAGGTTTGAAATTAATTTTATTTTACTGGAATTCAAACATACAGAATTTTTTTACTTCTAGTGGAGGTTATTTGCTAAACACCACACTTTAAGTTCCTGGTGTCGGATTTTCCGTAACAGGTCTAGATCGGATTCAGATTTTATTGATCGCAAAATTTTTGTTTATTGTTGTCATAGTGATATCGATTTTACTAAAAACTGCATTTTGACAAACTTCAGTTCATAGTCAATGACTGGTAAAAAGTTTGTAGCGATCAGACAAGGACAAAATCACTTTTAAGACGATTGAAAAACATCGGTATGGTCTCCCAAAAACTGTATCCAAACACCTTAAAACTGCATATCGCTCAGTCATAATTTTTCAGATTTGTATTTTAATGTACTTGGCAAGACTATAGACTGCTAAATAGCATGCGTGCACTTTTGGCCACTCCGACAAATTCAAATCAAGAAAACAAAACAAGCACAATCATTCCCAGAGAAATACCATTAGAGGATCTACTAACAAATTTAAAGTTTGGAAGATGCAATGTTCTGCTGTATTTTATTCTGCTACAAGCAACGGGCTGGAATTCCCAGTTTTATGTTTCTATTGAATTATAATACACCAGTCAAACTAAATCCCCGCCGCGGCATCTTCTCTTCGACGTTGCCTACAGCCCCAGTCTGCTTCCCATTGCCACCCTACTTTCTCGTAAAGGTGTTGAGGAGCAGCACCAAAAATTGCACAGTATGACATCATAACTATTATAGAGCCTCCAGCGCCTCAATAACAGTCAGGTGGTCGAGTCAGGGGCACCCAACGTCAATTTTCGGAAAATATCTGTTCTGAAGACGATTTGCGATCTAGAATTTTCTTAACATTTGTTGTAAACTTTCTTGCTTACCTGCCTCTCCTAGGATTTTCGAACATCTAAAAAAAGGTATAATTGCCCATTTTAAACGGATTTTTACCCTAACAAGGTCACCTAGAATTTTGGGAGCCTTTTTTCTGGCTGAAATTTTCGAAAAGGTAAGTTTTGATCCCTATAATTTTCGGATCACTAGACTTTCAGCTAGGAAATCCGAACAGATGAAAAAATTTTAGGGGATAAAAATATGCCAATATCTACTGTTTAAATACTAAAATACGTTTAACAATGCTATGTTTAAGTAGTTTTGAACCATATTCTCGTTGGGTGCCCCTGTCGAGTAACTGTATTACGGGTCCTTTTAAAGAACCCGTTTGTGCAGAAGGTTTATCCAGTTTCGATGTAGCATGAGAAAACAGCCAAAAGTTCGCGACCCCACCACTGATTTCCCCTCGAAATGACCTTGCCACAGAAATCAGTGGCAGCGTCGCGCTTCGGCTGTTTTCTCGGGCTAGTTTCGGTGTTATGAGCGTCGTTGAAATTGTACAATTTAACCAAATCTAACACGTGTGGAACTCAGTCTGTTAAAGCCGCCATTTTTTTTTCTCATGTGGTGACTTCGTTTCGCCAGTTAAACGCGAGTCTTCTGGAAGTCAAACTATCCACCGGATAAAGTTTCCGCATGGTTTTTATAGTTTCTAAAAATAATGTTTTTTAAAGTAAGATTTCCAAAGGGATGCCTGGGAGACTACCTCTCTGTCTTTTCATAGTCTCTTGACAAAACTTTATGTTTTCAGCAATCGATTAACTTCGCCTTCGGTGAATTTGTTGTTAAATGATATTGTACAACTAAATATCAACAGGGAGACACGAGTTTTCTAGGATAAGCGCAAACACTCATTTCAAATTTCCACCAATTAAAGGAGGGAGATTTAACCAGAACGTAGTCTGCTATACATCCGTTTTTAGTGTCGTCACGCAACGCTCCTCCCCAGTGCAGACTAACCAGACCGGGGCGATGAGGCATTCACAATCAAATTACCCAAAGAGGACGCCGGGTAGAAGTGCAGAAATGAAAAGAACGAAGTAACTCTAAAAGCACGTGGCGAGATTTTGGAACTGATTTTAGAAAACGTTTGAGATATCGGCACTTTAAAACCGCATTTTTACAAAAAATGTTCGAAAGCCTCCGACAGGTTTTTCTCTAACTTCAGCAAATAAGACTGTGCTCTAGTTTTATATCTGCAAGTTTGCAGTGAACTGTGACCGTAGAACTTGCTACACAAAATGCTGGTCAAATTTAACCTTAAAATGCAACGCTAACACATTTGTGAAAGTTGACGCACAAATTGAGGAAGAGTGCCAACGGACTATCTTCTATCTGCAAGGGTATTCTTACCCAAAGCTTTATTGCAAGAAACTGAGTATACTGAATCAGAAACCTGCAGCGAATACAGTTCGTAATACAAGTAGAACAACTTTATGCTGAATGCGGGGCAAGATCAAAGAACTTCCATTCATCAAACTTACTTTGCATTTATCCGGCCCCTCTCTTTTCGAAACCAATCTTAACAAAGCAAAAGGTTGCTGGACTTAAAGAAAAATCTGTCGTAGGGTTTCGAAGTTATTGACATCTTTTATAAAAATGCGGTTTTAAACAAATGCTGATATCTCTAACGCTTTTATTCCTGCAAAAAAATTAATAACATTTTCTTAAAGATCCACCATCCTTTATTAAGGATGCCAAAAATCGTAGAAATCGGTTCAATCGTTCCTGTCAAAAAACGCTATTCAAAAACATAACCAACGCGCATATATTGGTTCGAACCAC